TAGATTCGGATCAAGGCGGAATTATCAATGTGTGCATTGGGCTAAGTATCGCAAGTCGCAGCATAGTACAGCCCCTAGACGGCGTTCATTTCCTCAGAAGACCACAATTGGGTCATATGATGAGCATTGGGGAGACGAGGGGACCCTCCTTTCCACTCAGGGCAGGGTGAACAGAGATGTTTTTCTAATGCCCTCTCGGGGCGTTCTTAACAACCAACGGCCTAAGGCGTCGATTACTTTACGCAGTCTCAGCATAAACGGGTCGTTTGATGTTAATCGGTTGAAGCAAAACCAAGAGATGTCAGATGTTGACGATCCGTCCACGTCATCCGTCGTTGTGGTTCTCTATGTGTTACTCTATAGGTTCCCAAGCTCTTCGACTAGATCATTACCCCTGTTCGAAGAAGTATTTGATGGTTTCTCACATCCATGTGACCTAACGGCTAGAATAAAAGTCGATCTTTGCAAATGGTTCAGGATGTTATCAAGGCGTGAAGTAGTCCAGAACGGTGTTAATGCTGGAGATAAGTATCCATTGAAGGTGTGGTTGCCTCTTCAAAAAATGGGCCTGACCGTTAGCTTCCATGACAAGGAAGGGGTGATAGACGGGCGTTATAGCAATATCCAAAAGAATTCCATAAATTTGAAAAATTTATGGGTCATAACTCGCAGGATAAAAAAGATTTTGAACAATTAAAAAATTGTCCTAAATAGAGTAAAAACGTTTGATTGAGAATTTCAAAATTCGAGTGTTATTTTTTTATTTCTAAAATAAGAGTAGTAATATTATCATGCTAGAAAAGTTATGCCACTTATGGCGGTATATTGTCATGTACAATGTCTGGAAGTGCCAAAATATGGTGATAAATTTTCATGATGACAGTAACTTATTGTTATTTAGGGACTCCTTTGAATTACTAAATGCTTTTTCTATAAATAATGAAAAAATAATATCGTGGGGTTTTAATGGAGTTTTAGGATGTTTTTACTTGGACTGTAATTTGTCCCAGACCAGATCAGACCAGACCAGTCCAGACCAGACCAGACCAGTTCAGACCAGACCAAACCAGACCAGACATGGATAGTTATAAACATACAAAGAAACCAGACCTTACCAGACCAGACCAGACAAGTTCAGACCAGACCAGACCAGATCAGACCAGACCAGACCAGACCAGACCAGCAAATTACAGTCCAAGTAAAAACATCCTTAAACGACAACAACTCAATGCAGTGGTGCTGAACAGGTGAGGGCAATTCCAGATAGGCTAATTTGCATGTTTGTCAACACACAATTTTGATAATTAGTATTTAGTATATTTAATCTTCTAATAATAAAAAATCAAATTTTTAAAATTTAAATTGAGATAATAATAAAAAATTGAAAGGAAAAACCACTTATATTAGAATAATTAGGATTTGGATCGTTGCAACAAACTCAAAGATACCAACAATGACAACAACTATCTCTAACCAACTAGAGCTATCAACCATACGACTAAACTTAGAAACGATCACCCTAACCCTAAAAGAACAATATGATCGAATTGCTAACAACAAAACAGGTGTGACACATCAATCACTCGTCATATAGATCCTTCTAATGACATACTTCCTTCGTTCTTAAATAAATGCAATGGTCAACATTTCACACTTGCCGAGACACAACTTTGACCATTAATGTATATAAATTTATATTAGTAAAAAAAATTAAAAAAATTAGATATTGAAAATTTACAATGAGACAAATTTAACAATATGTTTTTCATAAAAATATATTCATACATTAATAAATAAAACGTAGTCAAAGTAGACCATGTGAATAGTGTAAAATTTCATATGTTGCATTTATTTAGGAACGGAGGTAGTAATATGTAGCATAATTGTCCATCATTATTGTAGACCTATAACAAAACACATTAACGAAAAACAGAGCAACATAAACAAACATAACGCGAAAAAGACCATAAAAATAAAATAACTGGTGAATACTTCAAACTCCTTCTTGTCATTTTCTTGATCGCTCCACAGTGGCGATTCAGGGGGGTGGACCGCTGATCTGTCCTCTCCCGTGCTTAGTTGGGAGTTCTATACTATTCATTATCCCTACTACTATTTCTTACGGAGTAAAATATTATGTCATTCGAAAACACTCATTTCAGTTTTTTTAAGGCAAAAGCTGAAAAAGCGTTTTTTTAAATTTTGGCAAACACTCCATAAGGATGTTTTTACTTGGACTGTAATATGTCCCAGTCCAGACTATACCAGATCAGACTAGACCAGACCAGACTTGGATAGTGTTAAAAATACAAAGAAACCAAGCATTACCAGATCAGACCAGATCAGACTTGGATAGTTATAAAAATACAAAGAAACTAGACATTACCAGATCAGACCAATTCAGATCAGACTAGACCCGAACAAACCAGATCATACCATCAAATTACATTTCAGTAAAAGCATCTGAGTCTTACTAGAAAATATTGAAAGAGGACTCGTTTCCCGCCGTCCAGTAGTCCATCTCCTACGCGGTCACGCAGCTCAGTTATCAAAACTATTGAAGTGATTTTTTTTTGGAAAGGGTGATTTCCTATTTGGGCTAAACCGCTAAACATCACAAAACACAAAGGGCATATCCAATAGTCCAATTCAAGGAAACAAACACTCCGTCCTTTCGTCGCTCTTTACCCTTTGTTTGTGACAACGGATGAACTGAAACCGTGTCCAATTCGCAGTTTGATTGCATTGAATAAACTCCCTAAAATTCCATCAAAGAAGTCCCTAAAATGGTTTATGGACTTTCCTGTTTCGCACCAAAAATTCATTTTTTGGACTTTAGTGCATGTTGGCATAAAAAGGCATTTCCTTCTAGAATATATAGGGCTCATGTTGTGACATTATTTTCGATTTATCAACATCATTAGCAAAACTGAGTATTTCATTATAACATGCAACTTTTAATTGACGCGTTAAAATGCAGAATAATCAAAATAAATAAGGTGAAGTTACTTTTGTAGATGAATTAGCGAGTTTCTCCAGTGGAAGAGTACTTTTCAGTATTATTTCTCGATTAGTGTTAGTTGAAAACTTATTTTCCAAATATGAGTAATATTATCAAGCTAGAAAAGTGCTGCCACTTATGACAATATACAGCCATGTTTAATGTTTGGTAATACCAAAATATGGTGGTAAATTTTCATGATGGCAATAACTTATACGAAGTACTACGTAGTTATTTAGGGAAAAGCATTGGACTCCTTTGAATTCCTAATGTTTTTTTACATAATGAAAAAATAATACCATGTAGTTATAAATGGACAAATATAAGACTAATTCTGATTTTGGACAAATAAAAGTCCAAAAGTAACTGCAAAAACTAGTAGTCTCACTTTCCTTCACCTGCCCAGACATGTGATTGACTACTCCTTGCGATCTCCATTCACATGCAGCCGTCGAAGTACGTCGTCGGCCCGCCTTGCAATCTACATCATGCGTCGTCGCCACGGGTCCTTATAGTCACACGGCTATCAGGGCCTTCCTTCTTGTTCTTCTCTCTCTGCCTGATCAAAGGAGGCGTATTTGAGCAAAATGGGGTAAAAGCGAGCAATAACAACTCAATGCAGTGGTGCTGGACAAGTGAGGGCAATTCCAGATAGGCTAATTTGCAACGTTTGCATTTGCATGTTTGTCAACACACAATTTTGATAATTTGTATATTTAATATACTATTCTACTAATAATAAAAAATCAAATTTTAAAAATTTAAATTGAGATTTTTTTAAACGAGAAAACCGCTTATATTAATATCATTAGGATTCGGATCATTACAACAAACTCAAAGATATCAACACTGACAACAACCATATGTAAGTCTATAACCAACTAGCTAGAGCTATCAACTCTATTGCTATACTTAGGAACGATCACCTCTGACCCTGAAAGAACAATATGAATCGCTAACCACCAAATGGGTGTGACACAACAATAACTGGCCATATATATCCTTCTAACACCATAATATCTAGCAGCGTTGTCCATCATTATTGTAGACGTAAAACTAAACACATCAACGAAAAACATAGCTACGTAAACAAACATAACGTGAAAATAAGACAATAAAAAATAAAATAACATATAAACACTACAAACCCCTTTCTGTCAGTTTTCATGATCGCTCCACAGCGGTGATTCAAGAGGGGGCGGACTGCCGTTCTATCCTCATGACCCATGCTCAGCCCTTCACCGCTCCTCGTCTATTCGTCGCTCATGCCGCCTCCACTACCGCCACCGCCCTCTATCCAAGTTGATCCACCAAAAACCAACTCTTCGACCTCCTCTTCAATTGTTGGAATAGGACAACGCTGCTCTAGATCATTGATATAAGCCATGATTATTCTTTCTTGAACCTGTACTTAATCAAAATGTGTTTTTGCACTTGATCCGCAGAAGTGCGGCAATGCACTGCTCTCAACCAATGGCGGATCTTATACCCAAATATAGAGTATTCAAAATTATTTTATCTATTGCATAATAATATTATTTGGTCCATCAATCGAGAAATGTAACTTTTTCAACATTAAAATCCCAAAAAATAAAGTTAATAGCAAGAAATAGTATACTACGTATAAAAAGCAGTATATAAATTTTTACATCAATTCTATATATGTATTTTTACATTTTATTTAGGGTGTTCACATGAACATCCTTGAACAAAAGAGGCTTGCCCCTGCTCTCGACACGCGAGAGAAAAACCCTAGCTCTCGACAAGCGGGGGAAACACCGAAGCGCTGTGTTAATTTAATAATTTTATTAAAAAATTAAATTTCAAAAACTTTAATTAGTAAATAAAATGTCATAGAAATAGAACAAAGCTAGTTTAGGCCACGTATCATTCAGTACATCAGGTTCCAAATTTTTTGTCCTCTCTCTAATCTCTCATTTCCAAAAAACAAAAGGAAAATTCTTTCTCAAATCCCATTGCATCTCTCAATCTATAAATAAAGCAAAGAGTGCCCAAAGCATAATTCACACTCCCAACTAAGCACAATAAGAAGGTGATATTAGTCATCGGAAGCACAGCAGAGGCAATGGACGGCAGATATGAGAGAATGAAGAAAGTGAGGTGGGAGAACAGAAAAACGAATGTCTTGAAAAAAGGCAGAGAATTAGCTACATTGTGCGGTATCAGGCTCTGTGTAGTTACCGTTTCCCCGGACGGAAAGGTCGAAACTTGGCCGGAGAATGCGGCGGCCGTCAAGGCTGTTCTTCATGACGCCGTCAAAGCAGCGGCAGAGAAACAGAGTGTGTGCCCCAGAAAGCAGCAGCAGCCGGAGATTCCGGATGGGATGATGATCAGTACTGATGATTATGAGGTCCCAGAAGTAGAAATGGAGTTGAGAGCTGATTTGAATCCTAATTATTATCTGATGCCGGAGTATAACGGGGAGAGCCACCACCACCATCAGTTTCAGCATCCTCCTTCCTTTTGCTCTGCAAATAATTACTCTGCATGGCAGACCCAAAATCAATGGACTCAAAGCAATGGATTTTCTTTTGGCGCGGGTGATAATGATTTTCAGGGCGGTGGAATGATGCCTCCGCCGCCGCCACAAGGTTCTGCGGGCGGCGTTTTTGATCCTCTGCTCAGTGCGCAGCCGCTGCAGCAGTATGAAGCTAGTGGATATGGAAACTTTCCGTTAGGTGATTACTACTATTAGGACTGAAGCAGCTTACGTACAATAATTCATACTCCTATCCGTACTTCGGTTCAGTTTTGTTAGTGTGAAGTTGATGCTTGGCATCAACATCTACTTAATTAATTATTATCTCCACTCATTACATTGAGTGATAGAGCTCTGCTTTCATTATCCAGTATTTGATTATCTCCAACTAATTAATTAATGCAAGTAATGTTTTTTCATTACCTATCCCTGTGCTCTGTTCTGTTCTTGTATGACTTTCAGAGTACATGACTACTACGTTCATAACAATCAGCAGTTCTAAAAATTTAAGAAGATAAAATGATGCTTACAATCAAATACGGAGTAAAACTTTTATCATGGCAATATGGCATGATTTCATCGTATCTTTACAAGCTAATTCATCAAAACTAGCTAGCTCGTTATTAACAGTCAAATCAAGTAGAAGAGGAAAATATTCAAACAGGATACTCACTTCCCAGTTCCTACTGTCCTTTTACGGGACAGCCAAACATATTGAAATGGATTTTTTTTGATATGGTACAATTTATACGAAAATATAATTTGAGGAATAATGTCTTGCCCTCTTGGGTGCCTTAGGCTTGTATTTATAATAAAACAGAGTTATGGAGAATTACAAAGTAATCCCTAAATATTACATTATTACACCCCCTCAATTTGTGCAGGGGAAATCACGTGCAAATTGGAACGTAAAAACTCAAAACGCTGACTAGATAAATTTTTGGTGAAGATATCAGCTAACTGCAACTGGGTAGGAATGTGCTTCACCACAAGATCACCATGTGCTACGCGCTCACGAACAAAATGGTAGTCAATTTTAATGTGCTTACTCCGATCATGCTGAATGGGATTAATGGCTAGGTATGAAGCAGAGACATTATCACAAAGAAGTTGTACCGGAGTCGAGATAAAGATACCCATGTCGGCCAGAAGAGAGCGGATAAAAAGTGTGTCCTGAACAGTGTAAGCAATAGCCCTGTACTCAGCCTCAGTAGAGGACTTGGACACTGTCGGTTGTTTCTTGGAGCGCCAAGAGATTAAGTTGGAACCCAGAAAAACCGCATACCCTGTAGTCGATCGTGAACTGTCAGGACAACCTGCCCAATCCGCGTCAGAATAAGCCGTCACAACTGAAATATTTTTGTCTGCTCGTAACCATAAGCCATGAGTGCTAGTACCTTGCAGATACCTGTAAATTCTCTTAACTGCCACAAGGTGAGTAGTACGTGGAGCATGCATAAACTGAGACACAAGGTGTACAGAATAAGTAATATCAGGTCTAGTAATAGTTAAATACTGAAGAGCACCTACCATACTGCGATACTCAGTAACATCAGATAACAGTTCCCCATCTGTGTGAGAGTGTGTGGTGCGTGAAGGTAGAGGAGTACGGACAGGTTTAACAGTATGAAGATGAAAACGACGTAAGAGATCAGATATATACTTAGCCTGAGACAAAAATAAACCTGTACCTGTCCTTTTAGCCTGAACACCCAAAAAATAGTGAATGCCCCCTAAATCCTTCATTGCAAAGTGATTTGATAAAGTAGTGATAACAGAGGAAACAAATGAGGCAGAAGAGCCTGTAATAAGAATATCATCCACATAAAGAAGAATATATACCACCTGAGAATTAGTGTGATAAATAAACATGGATGAATCAGACCAGACTGGACCAGGTACAACTCGGGCTTGAAAAGCGGTAAAAGGATAGACATGGTCTTTATTGGTGGCCTGAAGAAGAAGCTCCCCCGTTTGATTGTCCTTAACAGAAAAAGAGTTTTTATCAAAAATTACTTGACAAGCATTATCCGCACACAGTTTTTGAATAGACAGTAAATTATATTTAATGTGTGGGACATGATAGACAGAATTAAGATGCAACGGGCGGCCAGAAGTGATTAATTTAATGTGACCAATATTAGAAATACGTAATTTGGTACCATTAGCAACACATACTTGATTCGGGCCAGTATAAGCAGATTTAGAAGATAAAATACCTTCATGAGGAGTCATATGAGCAGAAGCCCCAGAATCAGGATACCAGACCGAATCATGCGTCTCACCAGTGGGAAGAGCCGCAATAGCGGGAGTATTTGGACTGATGAAACGGGAACAAGTGATGGCAGAGTGACCTGGAGAGAAGCAAAGCTGACAGACAACTGGAGGAGCAGGTGAGGGATAGGGGTGCTCAACAGATGGATAACCTGCACTAATATTATGAGTACCACATGTGGAAAAATGATCAGTAAAACTAAAACCAGAACGAATATTACTAAATACCGAACCTGTGCCACCAGTAAATGGAGGAACACGAGAAGGACCCGGTTGTCCGAAGTGTGGGCCATATGTCGGATAACCCCCAAAAAATTGTTGATATTGTTGTTGATGTCCACGACCGCCACGCCCGCGACCACCCCGAGGTCTGCTCCCTCGTTGACCGCGACCCCCCTTGTCCACGTGGTGGTGCCCCACCATAGCCGCGTGGAGCCTGGCCTCGGCCCTGAGGTGGTGGAACTGCCGCAAACGCCTGGTGGACTGCTCCTGGGAGTGAACAATAGAGTTCCTGCGTTCCTGTGCTTGAAGAATTGGGCGTAGAGACTCCAGTGTGGCATTCCCAGGGAAATATGATATGGTGTTGATAAGAGATTCATAGTCACGACCCAAACCCACAATAGCATATTCCATTAAATCACGGTTACTAACAGGAGAATTAATCATGGCAAGGGCATCAGCAATCAGCTTAATTTCCAACAAATATTGATCAATGGTCTGTGATTCTTTCTTTTTAATGTGTGACAGAGATTGTTTAAGTTCAACAGACCGTGCAAAACAGGCAGACATAAAACGTGATTCAAGGCGCTCCCAAATAAGATGAGAAAATTTCAAATCATATACCTCCATCAAAATATCCCGAGCAAGAGTAGCAAAAATCCAAGACCGAACCGTTTGGTCTATTTTCAACCAATACGGATAGCCCGGATCCGTGACCAGTGGGACCCTAATTGAACCATCCAATATCCCAAGAAGACTGTGGGATACCAAGAAGGACTCAAACTGGGTCCGCCACGGTAAATAATCCTCAACGGCCGATAAGCGGGTAGTAACAATATTAGTCACATTCGGCGTTGAGAAAGTCAATTGGGAAGCCAAAGCAGATAAAGAACCTGTGAATTCAGAAGTACCAGAAAAAGCTGGAAGACCTGGAACCTGCTGATGAAACGGCGTGGGGTTCTGCTGGGCTGTAAAAGTCGGTCCACCAAAAGACAGAGATGGGAGATTGACCGCAGGAGCCGACGGCATGATTGGTGGTGGCGGGAGGGTCGTCGTTGGCGTCCATGTAAAAGGGGGCGGCGTATTAAATAATCTGTAGGAGTCAAGAGAGGGAAACTCGGTCATGCGTTGCCGGAGATGAGCTGCTAGCGGAGATCGATCAGTCTGCGCAGCTTGAGTTGCCGATGGAGGGAGCGGGCTTGAAGGAACCACGCTACTGGAACCACTCTCGAACGAAGGCAGCACTACCGAAGGCGCCTGGGATGAAGGCAGCACTGCAGGTTGCGCCTGAGAAGTCATGAAGCCGATGGATGAAGACGGCACTGTTGAAGAGGACAATTGTGTGGAGACGGCTGTAGGATATGCGCCGGTCATGTCAGGAAGAGAGAAGAAAAACCTAGGCGACTGATACCATATACGAAAATATAATTTGAGGAATAATGGCTTGCCCTCTTAGGTGCCTTAGGCTTGTATTTATAATAAAACAGAGTTATGGAGAATTACAAAATAATCCCTAAATATTACATTATTACAATTTCCTGTTTGTGCCAAACACCACATAATAGAGAGGTTTATACAACTCCAACGCACTCTTTTTGTTTATACACAGTAGAAATATTCTTTGTCCGTTTGATTACATCAAGTAAACTCCCTAAAAATGGTTTTTGGGCATCCTCTATTTCCTACCAAAACAATTTTTTTTGACTTGGGGTCATAACTCATTAGATCATCTAATTTTCCATAGAAACAATTTGTAGAAAATATTGTCCTACAAATCTACAATTTAAAGGAGGCTAGTAATAATTCTGATGTTCAACTTTAAAAGTCGCATGAGAGTACCAGCAGCTAAACACATCTTCAATCCTCTCTACTTTAATAATTCAAACTCGTAATTTTGTTGATTACCAAATTTGGAAATTTTAATTACTCAAATTAGATAAACTTTGATGCCCTCCCGAGAGCGTACACAGTACACCCGGTTGTATAATGTTTGCTCAAAATTAGATAAGCTTTGATGCCCCCCCGAGAGCATACGCTGTACATCCGGTTGCATTATCCTTAATGAGTATAGCTCTTAAAATAAATGAGTATTGATATTAAATCTCTGTATTAGAAGAATGCTACCCACTACATTGGTAGCTTAATGAGTATAACATTTTTCCCTAGAGTATGTTACTATTATCCTAAACTTAATTACTATATTTTGGCATTACCAAACTTTAAATATAGTAGGACAAAATCTAACTTTTGGTCCCATGACAATTAGGCCACTTCAACATTTTCAATGAAAGTTAAACTGAGCAGGAGCGGGCTGTTCATTATAGAAGCTAGCTTTCCAAGAGGTCTTCACCTAAAATATTGAAAAATTAAACTATCAATACATTTAAAAAACTTTGAAAAATCAAACTACTCACGTTTAATTTGTAGCAGATACTATGTAAGTAAGATGAATGTAGCCGATGGTTTAATTTTTTTCAAGCTAAGCTACAACATTTGAGTGCGGTAATTTCAAGAGACGATGACACCTACCTTGGGTTGAGATGCTGGAATTTCGTTCCTCCGCCCTCCGGCCGTTTCTCTTGTTTCTTCGCCTCAGACCAAGTCGTTTCTCGCAGCGTAACTCCTGAAGACTTGCAGATTCCGACCGTTCCGTCTCTCGCCTGGTTTCTTTCGTTAAAGAGAGAAAGGTGGCGCCTGGTTTGATAAAGAGAGATTGGCGTATGGTGATTACTACTATTAGGACTGAAGCAGCTTACAATAATTCATACTCCGATCCGTACTTCGGTTCAGTTTTGTTAGTGTGAAGTTGATGCTTGGCATCAACATCTACTTAATTAATTATTATCTCCACTCATTACATTGAGTGATAGAGCTCTGCTTTCATTATCCAGTATTTGATTATCTCCAACTAATTAATTAATGCAAGTAATGTTTTTT